TGAGAAAAAGTTTTGCTAGAATCTCCTTTGACAGAAAAGGAAAATTGGGATTAGAATATATATGTGCATTTATAGCTTGCCTTTCATCTAAAGGGCGTTTGTGTCTACTTTACAGATGTTATAATAATCTGTCAAAAATGTTTTAGGTAACTTATAGAAACTTTATGGCAGTATAGCTTCTGTGATTGAACTTTGATATACTCTAGGATTAAAAAGAGAGGAGATATAAAGATAAGACGGATTTGGAGAATGAGAAGAAATGATGGTCTTTTTGATAAGGAGCTAATATTTGATTCACTGTATTTGGGAATTCCAATAAGCTTTGATCTCCTTGTCCAGAAAATTCAGTAGAAAATTGAATTTGAGCAAGTTGAAAGTTGAAAATTTGATATGCTCTTTTGACTTGAGGTTGCTCTGTGCAGAAGGAGAGTATGCTACAAAAACACTTTCATATTGCACCGATAGGAAATAAAAAATACATTACAAATTAGTTATTCTGTTGACTTCGCGTTGTTTGATTGGAAGTAATTTCCCTTTGATTGTTTAATTGCCTATAAATGCTTTTCCTTTGCATCTCACGATGACGACTCTGCCAGGAATAGTCTGTGAGTAGCTTAATGTTTGGCTCTTGTGCTCCTTGTAGACGTGGCACATACCTCTGCTCTGTTCATGGAGCCTGTACTGTTGACATCCCCTAAACACCACACAATTGGGTTCAACCCATCCTTTTCTTCAGAGGAATAGTTCTTGAATTGTCTCTAATATGTCAGCGTATAGAGATAAGGTATAGTAGTTTTCTAAGGGAATTTAACAGTTTGTGTTTTCATTTCTATGGTGAGTAAAATGCATTAAGATAAATATAATAGAAATGATAATTTTTATTATATGTTATTGATTATGCTACTACAGTTGTCCCCATTGTTCCCTCTGTGCCCCTCTTCACCCAAACCCCGCCTACTTCCTCAGGCAATCCCCACACCATTGTCCATGTCCATGGGTCATGCATATACAGGGTCCAGCACAAATAACACCCCCTTTCATGACAAAATCTTTTATTACAAAAATCATAAGCATGCAATTCCGTAACATAACAATATCACACTCAAGCACACCATAGGACATTTTAGGTAAAATGTTCAAATTAAAACAATAAAGTATTATACCCATATTATTAACCTATGAACCACGCTCAAGCAGGCCTTACTTCTGCCGGCCTCTGTATGTTCTTTGCTACTCTGTTTCCTATGCTGTACTTTACATCCCCATGATAATTCTGTAATCACCAATTGGTACTTAATCCCTTCACCTTTTTTGCTCATCCTCCAACCCCCCCTTCCATCTGGCAACCATCAAAATGTTCTCTTTATGTACGATTCTGTTTCTGTTCTGCCTGTTTGCTTTTTTAGATTCAATTGTTAATAGATATATATTTGTTACCATTTTATTGTTCATAGTTTTTATCTTTTTCTTAAATAAGTCCCTTTAACATTTCATATAATAATGGTCTGGTGATGATGAGCTCCTTTAGTGTTTTCTTGTCTGGGAAGCTCTTTAGCTGCCCTTTGATTCTAAGTGACAACTCTGCTGGGTAGAGTGAGCTTGGCTGTAGGTCTCTGCTTTTAATGACTTTGAATATTTGTCAGTTCCTTCTAGCCTGCCAAATTTCTTCTGAGAAATCAGCTGACAGTCTTATGGGAACTCCCTTGTAGGTAGCTAGCTGCTTTTTCTCTTGCTGCTTTTAAGATTCTTTCTTTATCTTTAACCTTTGGCATTTTAATTATGATGTGTCTTGGCATGGGCCTCTTTGGATTTATCTTGTTTGGGACTCTCTGCATTTCCTGGACTTGTATGTCTATTTCCTTCACCAATTTAGGGAAGTTTTCTGGCATATTTTCAAATAGGTTTTTAATTTCTTGCTCTTTCTCTTCTCTTTCCAGCACCCCCATAATGCGAATGTTGATATACTTGGAGTTGCCCCATAGGCTTCTTACACTGTCCTCATTCTTTTGGGTTCTTTTTTCTTTTTGATGTTCTGATTGAGTGTTTGTTCCTTTCTTATATTTCAAATTGCTGATTTGATTTTTGGTGTCATCCATTCTACTGTTGAATCCTTGTAAAATGTTCTTCATTTCAGTTAGTGTATCCTTCATTAATGACTGGTGCTTTTTAATGAATATCATGTCCTTTTTTATGCCATTGAAGTTCTCTCTGAGTTCATCTTCTCTCCTCCTAAGTTCATTGAGCATCCTTATAAGAAGTGTTTTAAATTCTACATCTAGCATATTGCTTGTCTTTATTTTTTTTAGTTCTTTTTCTGGAGTTCTGTTCTTTCATTTGGGACATATTTCTTTGTCTCCTCATTTTGACAGCCTCCATGTGTTTGTTTATATGTGTTACATAAACTGTTACATCTCCTATGCTTCGTAGAGTGGTCTAACATGGTAGGTGTTTTGTAGGGTCCAGTGACACAACCTCCCCTATCACCCAGCTGGGTACTTGAGGTACACCCACAGTGTGGGCTGTGTATAACTTCTTCCTGTAGTTGAGCCTTGATTGCTATTGGCAGGTCAATGGGAGGGATTTACCCAGGCCACTCAGCTGCAAGGACTGTCTGTGACCACTGACCACCAACCTCCAACCACTGTGGAGGATCAGCTGTGCAGAGGCCTACTCCACAGAGCAGGACTTACTTCACTGGGGCTGTGGTGCCCACTGAGCCCACCCCTGAGTGTGTTGCTTGTGGAGGTGGTTGGGTGGTGGTCCTCTGATGTGGTCTGTAGCTGTCCACTGGGTGTGCAGGCTCTGCGGCTTCCTGGGAGATACCACAGCCTGTGTTCTGTCTGGGGCCACCTGGCACAAAGCTACAGAATTATCTGTAAATGGCTACCATTTATGTTGGGCTTAGAGGTGTCCAAGTAAGGCCAAGCTGTGAACCAAGGCCAGCTGCTGCTAGTGCTGGACCTGGTGCCACTTAGCAAGAGGTACAGGGCTTGCTGAGGCCAGATGCTGCTTGTTTGAGAGGGTTTAGGAAAATCTGAAGCTTGAACCCAGACAAGCCATTTGTATGGAAAGCCCCTGGAAACAGGCTGGGTGGACCAGAAGGTTGGGTGAGGCAAAGCCTCACAATCACTAGAGCAGGGCAAACAGTGTGAGCCAGGTTGGTGGAGTCTCAGATATGGTGCATGCCTGGGAGCTCTGTGTGGAAGAGGGCTCATTAAAGGAACAGTGGCCTCTGCAAGCACATCCATTTGGGAGAAAGCTGTCCCCCAGTCTCACCTTGTTGCCAGACACTTCAACTCTTCCCCATTTGCCTCTGGTGCCTTTCAAGCTGCCACCCCTGCACTGGAGCTCAGAATGTATGAGTCTAAACAAGTTCGTGCATGGGCCTTTAAGAAGAATTGCCAGGGAGTCCTGCAGTTTCTGTCTCCCACAGTCTCAGTTCCCACTGGTTTATACAGCCAGGAGTTAAGGAAACTTATCTTCCCAGCACTGGGACCCTGTTTTGTGGGGCCTCTTATGGGGCTGTGTTCGCTCACTCCTGAGGTATCCCTCCCAATTTTTATTCACCACATGTGGGTGTAGGGCCAGCCTGTTCCATGTCCCTGCCCCTCTTACCAGTCTTCATGTGGTTTCTTCTTTAATTCCGTAGTTGTAGGACTTCCATTTAGCTTGATTTCTGGCGGTTCTGAGTAATAGTTGTTTTGCAGTTTGGTGTAATTTTGATGTGGTTGTGTGAGGAGGCAAGCCGTGTTTATCTGTGCCGTCTTCAGAGAGGGCCTTATATCATAGTCTGCCATAGTCTTATTTTAGATGTTTGTTATTTGTGATAATGATGCTTTTTTGTCACCAGATATTATTCTTTCACTCATCTATAGTGAGTCGTAGGACAGACACTGACTAAATGATGTGTTTGGACTTCACAGAAATCAATAGTAGCTGTGTTGCTGAGAATTTTGCAATAGTTAAATAAAGAAAAGGAGAGTTGAGTCAGCCCAAGGTACGTGTTAGTCTGGGCATGCCAGAATGAAAAGAGTCTGTACTCCAGCAGCCAGCACTGTATGCACGATGTAAGTAGCAATTCAGTTTCACCAACACATCATTACTTTATATTAATGTTAATTTGAATTTTATTTGCTTTGTATTTTTAATTTGTATACATGTTAGGGTTCTGTTGTTATATAAAACACTATGCATAAATAAAAGTTATTCCTAGTTTTATGTGGGTACATATAAATATGTAATGTAATGAAGTGTAATAAAAATAAATTTTAGGTCATATTTAGGTAATGTAATAAAATAAAACTCATTTAGAGTGGTTTTGTCCTTGAGTGATATAAAAAGTAAACACAGCCATATATTAATTACTTGGAGCAGTGAAAACAGTTTATTTAGTAACTGCTGACTGGAGGGGAAAGAGCTGAGCTCCGCTCTGACACGTGCGCAGGTGACTGAACGATCTGAAGGGAGAAAGGGGCAGGGGAACAGTGCCCCCCAACGCCCCCCCCCCACACACACACAGCAGAGTGCTGGCAGTGAAAATTACAAAAAGCAGGAAGGGGTTGGTCCATGTATATCTGAGTGCTAACTGGCAAGAAATTAGGCTCCTACTTTCCCATAGAAACCAGGAAGAGGGACCCTGTCCTGAGGTGTGGGCTGAAAGAAACAGTCAGTTCTTTAGGCAGCCTGGAGTTTTCTCAGGCAGGCACTTTAAGGGGGACTAGGGTCATCCTAGGTGTGTGGCCTTGAGCTGTTGGAAACGTGTTAGTGTTTGTTCAAGTCTCTGTCGCGGAGGGCTGAGGCCTGATTTCGAGGAGGGCTCCGAGGAGCCCGCCTGGAGCTGGGTCAGGAGGCGAACCTTCGTAGGTTACAGTTGCAGCGTTGACAGTGTGCCCTCGCTTTCTTATGAAAACAGTGACTGTTGCATATCAACTGTATTGGAGAGAGTTTGAATTTAAAATTTTAACTGAAAAAATCTGATAAATTATGCCATTTTGTTTCAGGGCCGAGACCTAGACTGTAAAATTCAGGAATATAAAGAAGCTGGAAAAACTTTTTCAGAAAATCAGATAATAGAATGGTTTATCCAGCTGCTGCTGGGAGTTGACTACATGCATGAAAGGTATGTTCATTTGTTACTGAGGGACAGGATATTTTCCAACAGGCATGTCTGAACTTGAAAATGAAGTTTTGGGGGATAGAATTGAAAGAAAGCAAGACCAAAAAGTAAATTACTACAGTTAAACATCTATAATATGTTTTTTCATGAGAAAACTGTTGAATGATTGTATGTAGAAGATTTACTTGAATAACTTTTTACTGTTGTTCTAGAAATCAAGTTGGCCTTGAATACAAGACAGAAAATTGTATTAAACACATTCACTATATCTGATCATACCCTGTGAATCACAAGCAATTCTTAGATATCTCAACATGCTGTGAATTTATTATATCTTACAACAGCCTGAGCTATAAATACCTTAGGATGCTGCAAATGCATTGCACGGTCACCTTGGAGAGTGTCAATGCACATTTAGTGGAGTTTACTTCTCAAGATGAACTAAGTAATTGAGGCAAAAGATACTGTTTGGTACTCAGACTGAAAGTCAGTTTTCTGATAAAGAAGGTCAAGGTATGCTTTATGAGTTCGGTTGTCTATAATCTGTATTTACAATGTGCCTCAAAAATATATTTTAAAACATTTAAGAAGTTTTAGATGTTAGAATGTTTTACAGACCCATACAATGATATGAACACATTTAAAAAGATGAACATGCTTAGACCATGGAAGTAGATGTTAGAGATGTCTGTGTTAGCTTTTGACTCAGGAGTGGGAGCGACATGTGGTATGTTCTTCTTGAACAAAGTGGAAATTTACAGGGTTCACTGAGGTCTGCCTCTCCATGGATGTCAGATAACTTAAACGTGTCATCTGTGTTTTCTGGTACATAAGAAGTCGTTGGGTTATTCTGTGCTTTGCCCGGTATCTTCTGGAACATGTGCTCCAAGATACAGTTAGCCAGGGACCTACTGACAGCCCGTAACAATCTTTTGATTGATGTAAAACCATTCTAAGAGACAGTAGTAAGAGTATCAAATAATCTTTTAATAAACTACCCAATGCTACTGAATGTAGGACATTTGTATACATATAGTTAATATTGTAGTATATTTTTTATTTTCTTTACTATTCCTTGGCATATGTGTTAGCTCATCCATAAGGAAAACAACACATATAAAGATGCTAGCTTTGGTATTTTGTATGCAAAAAACAAAACTGAAATCTGATTCATTTAGGAACCCAAATATTTTTGATACATTTAGTTCTACTTAGTACTAGTTAAAATAAAGGAGTTTAAAATAACCTTCAAAGAAAGGATTTAAGTTTTTTAGAATCCTTCAACATTCCAAGGAAGTCATGAAATGGGGCTTAAATATTTGGATATTTGTGGAACTGTAGATCTGAAATACTATCCTTTGATTCAGATAACAGATTGAATCTAACCCTAGATTCTTATTCATTATGTTATTATAACCAATTATAAAGTTTTTATGTATAAATAGAAAATTATCAGTTTTATATTTATTCATTTATTAGATAGTGATAAATGAAATACAAGGCCTAACTTCAAATTGTTGGTTAACTAGCAAAGATAAAACATGGACCAAAATAAATATAAACCATGTATCATGGTGGATATACAGGATTGAGAATCTCCACCACATATTCTATTATGATCCTGGGCAAGTTGCTTAACCTCTCTGAGCCTTTGTTTTCTCATCTGTAAAGTAGGGATAATAATGGCATCCTCACTGCTTACTTATAGGGCTGTAGGGAATATGCATTGAGATATACATTTTAAAAGTTTGTGAACTGCTAAGCCCTGTGTAAATGTCTGTGGTGGTAATTCAATGTAGAAATGAGGGCATGGTCACCAGAAAGGCTAAAAACCTCTCAACAATAACAAGTGTTGACAAAGATATGGAACTACTGGAACACTCTTACATTGCTGTTAGGGTGTAAATTGGTATAACTACTTCGACAAAATGCTATTTTTAAAAATTTTTGAAAAAAAAAATGTTTAGTAGTGCCTCCAAAGCTAAACATTCAGATACCTTATGACTCAATTCGGTTTCTCACATGAAAATTAATTAGCCGTGTATAAGCCAGTCAGAGAAAGACAAATACCATATGATTTCACTCACACATGGAATCTAATGAACAAACTGAACTAACAGGCAAAATAGAGACAGACTCATAGATGGAGAGCAGAACGACAGCTAAAAGTGGGAGTGTAGCGGGTAGAGGGATTGAGGAAAAAGGACTCATGGACATGGACAACAGTGTGGTGATTGCAGGGGCAGGGATTTATAAGGGGACTAAATAGTAATGGAAAAAAAATACAATAACAAATACTGAGAGAGAAAAAAAGAAAAATAATTACCCGTGCCCAACAAAAGACATGTACAAAATTGTTCATAGTCTTATTTGTAATAGCCAAAACATTAAGAAATGTCCATTTAGCCCTGGCTTGGTGTCTCAGTTGGTTGGAGCATTGCCCCATGCACCAAAAGGTTGCAGGTTCTATCCCTGGCTGGGTCATGTATGTGAGGCAACCTATTGACGTTTCTCTCTCACATTAATGTTTCTCCCTCTCTACTACTACTACTTGAGTTGTGATATCTCATCTCATCTTCTTCCCTCAGAACAGAAACTCTCCTTATTCTCAGGCTGTTAGACTGAATTACACCACCAGCTTTACTGGACCTCCAACCTGCAGATCTAGGAACCTCTCAGCCTCTCTATGTATGAGCCAATTCCTCAGGATAAATCTCTAGCTCCAGCTCTAGCTCTGACTTTGTCTCATCTCCATCTTTATATGCCTCCCTGTATCTCTTTATCTCTTATTGGCTCTGTGTTTTTGGAGACATGTGGCTGATACAGTGCAGCAGCAGAGGAGATAAAGAAGACCCTAGAGAAACTAAGAAGAATTAGGATACAGAAGAAATTATTTTTTTCTGACTCCTTTGGAGAATTCCTGAACTTATTTTAATTTGGCTTATTTATATATTTATAACATTCCAAAACTATATACTCATAAATAATGATGTTAAAAGCTGAGAATATTCATAGTTGAATAAAAGCTATGTATCTTGAGAATGTGGCACTAAAACTCATTCCTCCCTGTGGGCTTGAGCCTCTGTTGCACAGACAGATCTAAGTTTTTTAAAAAGGTGATTGTATTCCGAGGCTCATTACCAACTCCCTCAAGCTTCCATAGGCTGGTTCAGTATTGAGGGACTTTGGAACCCTGGGCAAAGCTAGAACACTATTCTCTCTGAAAGTGAAATCCTATAGCCTTTCTTCTCTTTGGTTTAAATAATTATCTAATCTAAAACATCATCCCCTATAGATGCCACAGCAAACTGGGCATAAGGGAACTCCTTGGGGACAGAGACAATGTCTTGTTCATTTTTTTGGCCCCTAGTGCTAACATAGAAACAACCAAACCGAACCAAACAAACAAACTGACCACCCTCTCCCCCACCAAAAAAACCCGCATTTCTTTTGAAAAGGGGAGTTCAGTTAGCCTAGATTTTTAAGAGATGGGCAGGAACAGCCCCTGTGCAGAAAGCCCTGTATTTGGACCTTGAGGTCCTCCTGACCTGGGTGCTTTCACAGTGGAGGAGGAACCAGGACAGAGACACTGTTGCTAAGACGACTGCTTCCTCACCCAACATCCCACATGTTTCCCCAGCCAGTATTCTGTTAGAATGGCTAAATATTCCCAGAAAGGTGGCAGGAGGAATTTATTTTTAATGTAGTGTGAATCCAGGTCAGAAAATATGTCAGAAGATGGGGGTGTGCTACCTTAGTTTTGAAGATGGAGAAGCAAAGAGAAGGTGTGGTGTCTGTGGTATTACTGGAGATTCCTGCTTTTGCCTGATTCTACTTCTTGAGGTTGTTCCAAGGTCATTTTTTTTCAAGGAGACCCCACCCCAGGGCCAGGTGTAGGCAACTCCTGCTGTGTTGGCAATAGCTACATTGGAAGAGGACCTGACTCCTCCCTGACTTGTGACACAGAAGATGGTCATGAGGGCTCACAATGCTGAAAAGGAAGCAAGACAGGTGCCTCAGAATCTAGGACGAAGGTCACGTGGCAGAAACCAGCAATGGCAGCTGCCTGAGCCATGCATCACCAAGGAGTCCCTGCTTGTGCCACATTTTGGCAAGATGAGTTTGAGATCCACCCTGAGACCCTGTCAGATGAAGGACAGACTTGTAGGGAAGGGAGCTGATGTGTCAGAAACTATTAAGATAAGGGCTTAAGGGGAGATGAAGGTTACGTTGTCTATGCCTCCCCCACAGTCCTGCCTCTGGCTGGGGTCCTGAGCAATACCTGTGCTGTCTCCACAGACTGTTCTTTACTGTGGCTCTGGAAGCTAGAGGCTGTAGAAAAGGTCCTGATGGAGGAGACAGACACAGCAGCTCTGCTGTGTATTTGAACACAATTGCCATCGAATCTTAACCAGATCGCTTAATTCTCTTGGGCATCATGAAACTGAGAAATGAAAGGGACCCACCACGTCTACAGATATGGTGTGGGACATACGAGATAACAGATGGAGGGGAGCGGCTTTGAGCTTTTTAGAAGAAAGATTTTATGAAAGTTTCCTATATTATTAATCACCTTGTTATTTCTTGGAATTGATTTTTATATACTTCAAAAGAAAGAATACTGTGTATATGATCAGATTTTCTTGCTGGAATTATTTTTGCTTACTAAGAACACAAAGTCAATAAGTTATAATTTTTAAAAAATTCACCAAAGAGTTTAATAGAAGGTCTGTTGCATAAAGTTTATTATTTCATCACTATGGCACCAGCCAATTACTTCTCATAACTGCCTCCTCGAATATTGTTTACCTTTTTCATAAAATACTTAGTGGTGAATAACATACCCACATATTTATAAATGTGAGGACTGTTAATGTGTTATTATGTGCAACTCATCTTCTATTGCCTAGTCTAGGAATCTTCAGATAAGTTTCTCTGGAATATATTACTTACTCCAAGTGTGTAATACCTGGTTTCCTAGTAGGTCCCTGGATCGCTGTTCC